TAAATTTGGAATCCTAAGGCTAGGTCGATAGGTGTAGTCGGTGACAATATTTAGGCAATAACTAAAGTTATAGATCTCCAATTGATGCAAGAATTAATACATTGAAAAGAAATAGTGCTAAAAATTTACTAAAGAAAGAAAACTATAATTCGACATGTACTTATTCCATACAAGCTAATTACTAAAAAGAACATATACGACTATGAGCAAAAGTTTACGCCCATGTATGATGAAGCAACAAAAGACACATGATCGTGTGTTTAATTTTAGATCAAGTTTCTAACCGTGTGTCATAACTCAAACAACTCGTGTTTGTGTTTTCCCTTTATATTATATACATTTTTATCCATATATTTAGGTTTGAGGGGAGGCAACATGTAGTTAGTTGGGAGAGAGAGCTGAGTATATTCTTTTTTTTTAGTGCTCGACAAGCATGTGTGGCTAAACTATTTGTATCGGTTCGAGGGAATTTTGAAATATGGCTTCACCAATGCACATCATACACATAATCATTTTCAAGCTATTTCACATCCATTTATCCATAAACATACATATTTATCATATTCCATCACAACTTAAAGCATTAGACAAACAATTCAAATATTCCTCTCTTAGTCGAATGTTTCATCCATTCAACCAAGAGAGATTTTCCTTAATCATTCATTCTATACATGTTATCTTGCCATATTCAAACCTAATCTTTTATTAAATCCATTTAACTTAGTCTTAGGTTAACTAGGGTTAATGGCCAAAATCTACTTCCTAATTAATCCATCCTAATTCTTTATTTTAATGCATCTAACTTCAACTAACCAAGGTTAAAGTCACTAAATTCTATAGCTTAACCATCCAATTCAATAATCCCTCATATTTGGGACTTGGCTAAATGACCCTATACCAAACAATCAAGTTGATTTCTTCACAATTAATCTTAAGTCATCCTCATTTAATCTCACTTAAATATCTTTTAATCCATAACACATAATATACACATTTCATTCTAATTTTCATGTTGGCCAAATCTATCAACCCTAACTAGCCATTCAATTTTATCAATTTTCTCTTTAACTTCGATCCAAAACATGATTTACACATTTTATCAAACACTTTAATTGCGTCAATTTCCTACAACACAATCTTCTCCTATTCTTTCTAGCGTTGGCCAAATGGTTCTTCCTAATGAACCCATTTCTTAAGCTCCTCTTTCTCCTATTAAATCACTCAACATAACCAATAAATCACCAATCATACAATTTCACATTCAATTATTCAAATCATATATTATCACACAATTTCAACATAAATCATAATTACACAATTCATAACAAAACAACCATTAGTCATTCAAAGCATTAAACCACTTGCAGTGTAGGTGAGATTACACTTACTTAATTATCATTGATGTTTAGCTTTTCTTAATTGTAGTAAAATCTTTGCTCCTTCTTCCTCTTGGTTTCGGCCAAGGCTCTTTTTCTTCTCTCTCCTTGTATTTGCTTCCTTAGGTCTTCTAGTAAGGTATTATGGTGGAATTTAGGTCGGGTTAACTTAATTTCTTCTACCACTCTCTAATTCTTACCTTAGTTTCCTCCTAACCTTGATTGTTCATCATCCTCTTCTCTTATCCAACTAGCTGAATATGTATAGGGGGATGAATTATGATTAAACCAAGTGAAGGATCATGCATTCTATGGAGGTATGAAATAAATAAAAAATTTTGTTCTTCTCCATCTAGAGTTTCTAAAATCAACCATTGAATCAACTAATTATATTAGCAATATGATGATAAAGAATTACCTCTTGTAGCATATAATTCAATTTGCAAAAAGAACGATCCAAGTGTTCGACTCTTATTGATGATCCATATAGCTTAAAAACCCACACAAGAAATGACGAAATCATAGAGTGTTAGCTCTAACCTTTTCTCGTTATGTGTAATATTTTTCTTAAAAATCTTTTAGGGTTAGCGCATTATTTATTCTAGGAGAGAGGGTTACGATAACTTTTTCTATTTTCTTAATTGGGAGAGATGCACTTTTCACTCTTGCAAATTATATGTATTACGTGTCTCTCTCTCTCTCTCTCTCTCTCTTTTATGTAGGTGGCAACTTTATCCTTCTTGGACAAAGAGTTGTAACTTATATGGACTTGTTTGATCTTATCCTTATAAACCCTAAGCCTTATCCTTTAGTGCTCAAGATTATTCATCCACCAAAAATATATTGTAAGCTTTACTTAAGCCCATTAACCCAAACTTCTTTGGCTTAATTATTCATCAATTAATTTGGGCCATCTAAATAAATTGGGTTAGATATTTTTAGAGAGACCTATATTAGGAATCAATTTCTCAAGTTACCCTTAAACCTAAATTAGAAAACTAATTTTTATTTTAGGTAATCGACTTTCAAATTTGAAAACCGATCTTCAAATTAGAAAACTAATTTTTGAAATAGAAAGCTGATTTTCAAAATAGGAAACTTTTTCAAAAATAAGAAACTTTTTTCCAAAACCTTCATTTCTCTTTTTCGTGTGAACGTTTAAACTTATACGTGTGACTCAATAGGCTCCTAAATATATTGGCAATGTATCAAAAAAATAAAAGACACATCTTTCATCTCTTGATACATAAATCAAGATTGACTTCTACTAAAACATCATGACTACTCAAGTCCATAGAAAGAATAATTAATTTGCAATTACTTTTCACGAACATAATTTTCATACAATTCAGTTCTCATGTTAATTTATCATAGTATGATCTCAAACTTGATTTATAATCTATTCGATTATGATCACAAAAGTTTTCTTCGATCTCCAAATTTCTTGGTGCTCAACCAACTATACTCTATTGGTATACTTTCACTCGTGGCCATAGATTCTCGAGTAGACATTCATCAAAGTGCAATGTGATAACTCCTTTAGCATATAAGGAATGACATGTCCTATTTTAGTCATTCACATATCTCCATTAGACTCCTAATACATCCAACAAACGGCCCACATATAGCTCTTTAGTAAGCCTATTGAAATGAATGTCAAAGTACAATAATCCTCCGATAAGATAACCGTGATGACTTCAAGTCAAATAAATACTTGTATCTATCTCGTTTGAGATTCCTATAAACTAAACCAAATGAGTTCTCATGACGAGTCACGTTCGATGACATGTTATTTAACATTATTCACTCGAGTGCTTGCTTTGACATCATCATGCAAATAAGTGTGAGATCTCATACTACTATCTTATAGCATGAGCATAAGCACTCACAAGTTTTTATCACATGTTGTCAATATCCATTCTTAACAATGCTATGACTTGAGACATTTAATGATATCATTTAAATGCATTAATGTTTGTCTCACATCTATTGATTAATCATTAATTCAATGCATATCATATAAACTTCTATCTAATTTCATTAAATTATAAATAACAAGAATTAATAAATAGACTTCTTTATTAATATTAAAAATGCAATAATACAATATATCAAACTTTTCAAGCAAGTTGAACTTGAACACCTATATTAACACCAAGTTAATGCCACTTGAGTTAATCAAATCTATTCCTTAGTCATGTTATTGATCTTTAGATCCTTCATTGAGCTTTCTATCTTCATTTCTTAGCATTTTTTTCCTCTTTTCCTCTTATTTCTTGGCCAAATGATCAAGCCTAAAATTCAGTTTCTAAATTGAATTTTCAAGACAAAAATTCCAACCCGAATGGCTAGTTCAAATACCTTTTTATTTTGCCAAAACATTTTACTTTGATCCCCGACTCCTATAATTCCATTCAATCACACCCTTACTATTTTAGCTTCCCACTTTTAATTGTAACATTCCAGCCCTCCTTTAAAATAATTTCCAAATTAATATGGGTCTCTTAACTCCCATAATTATTTAAAGTAATTGACCAAATTTTCAACCTTTACAGCTTACCTCCCTAAAAATAATTTAATTAAACACCCAAAACTTATTATCTAAAAATTATCCATCCTTACAAAATAATTTCGTAATTATTTTCTCCTTGTTTTCTAATATTTATATGCACATAAACGACATTTTTATGCATACATAATATTAATTCAAACATTTAATGTAACTAATTACTCTATAATTAAATATTCATACATTAATAAAAATATTCCTCCTATACATACATATATAATTATTTAGGAGATTTTTGATAAAAGATATTATGAATTTATAATTTAATTTGCAATTCAAGGATTTCTTTCATCATAAATTAAAAAGTAAAATTTATCAAAAGTAATGTTATAGTAATTTTTATTTCAATTTATTGATTTCATATATTCCATACAATTTAGTAGTTTTTTTTTTAAAAAAAAAACTATATATATATATATATATATATATAACAATTGATTTTATGCATACTTATGAATGGTTAATTTTTAACAAAATTAATGGTTAAAATTCAAATTTGAATCAAAATCATTAATTTATTTGATTCAAATTTGAATTTCAACCATTAATTTTATTGAAAATTAACTATTTGTTTACACCCATAAAACCAATTTTTTATTTTTTATTCTTTTCATATTTTAAAATCAATATTTTTAAATAAAATAATGTTATAAAAAATCTCATAATTATTCAAATATAATTTTTTATGTTAATGTTATTAATTATTTTCTTAATAAATATATATAATTCAAACGATTTTAATCAATAAATAGATTTAATTTACATTAATTATCAAAAATAAAACTTTTATCCATATTACACCATACAAATCATTAACCTCACGTATATAACGGTTATCCAATCGTAACGTAACACGAATATACAACTAATAAATTCTAAACATGTTGGATAAGAAGCTAATTCTACAACACAGATTATCCTATACTACATTTACAGGTTCCACAGCATAAAGTTCTACAAAAAAAAAAAAAAAAAAAAACCCTCTCAATTACAGTAACATAAACATGGTACCAAAATATGCATACCAGATCAGCTGAACAGACCGTCCAAATACATCAAATTTCTCCCCTATAACCACCAGAACCGAAATAATCTCTTCTGGAGTTGGCAAGTTGCTGGCTTCTTTGATGCTCCAACTTGGGGCAATCACGGATGCGGTGACCAAGACCACCACAATAAGCACATCCTTTAACTCCACTTGCAGTATTAATTGTGTCTCCATCTTCCATTGGATCACTTAGCTCAGCCAAAACAGGAGGAATCCTCTGCTTCGCTTCTTGCAATAGGTGCTTCAGATCAAGAAGTGTTGTCTCACTCTGGTTTTTGTTTATAAAGGTTGTGGCAATTCCAGTCTTACCGCATCTTCCTGTTCGTCCAATCCTATGTACATAGTTTTCAATTTCAGCAGGCATGTCATAGTTAATTACATGTTGAATGTCAGGAAAATCCAAGCCTTTTGAAGCGACATCAGTTGCAACCAAGACATCTTTCTTGCCTGCTTTAAATGATGAAATTGCATACTCTCTCTCTTCCTGGTCTTTGCCTCCATGAATGGCCACAGCCTCAACTCCCTTCAAGAGGAGATACTCATGAATGTCATCCACATCAGCTTTGTTCTCACAAAATACTAATACAGGAGGTGGTGTTTTCTGTAGGCATTCAAGAAGGTAAACAATCTTTGCCTCCTGTTTTACATACTCAACCTCCTGAATCACATCAAGGTTTGCTGCCCCAGCTCTTCCCACATTAACCGTGACAGGCATCACAAGAGCACTTCTAGCAAAATTCTGAATTTTTGTGGGCATGGTGGCAGAGAATAAAAGAGTTTGCCTTTGAGCTTTGAAGTGGTCGAAGACTTCCCTTATGTCATCTTCAAAGCCCAAATCCACTAATCTATCCGCTTCATCCAATGTCAAGTACCTGAAGAGAAAAGACAGTAATATGAACAAAAAGTAGCTAGCAGATAAATAAAAAAATATATCTTCGGGAAAAAAGAAAGAGAGAGAACAAAAGTCTATCAAACATGATATGAAAGGCCCAAAAAAAAAAAAACACCACGCTTGTCAATGTAGCAAAGCCATATAATTGGCTGTAAGACTAGACCAGGAAACTAAGGGGAAAAACAAGAAAAGAATAAAGGGGTAATCATAACACTGACTCTTATATGTACAGTTGAATAGAGCTGCATCGAACATTCCAATTGAAGATATCATCTTTATAAGTGTACAAAGAAGCTGAAGATGCAATACCAAGAAAGTTTGTTCAGACTAGACATCATATGCAAGATCTTAGACCCTGACGACAAATCTTCAAAGAATCATTTTTGAACAATGAATATGGAATTATTCTCCAGATGCTACAAATAACCTCCATCACTTCTTATGGCATTAAAGGCTGTCCCATGAACAATGAAAGGGGTGCTGCTCGTCATCCTAAAATCAGTAAAACAGACTTGTGACCAAGTCCTTTCTGTCTTCTCAAATGACAAGAACGAAGTCAAACTCAAGTCAACCACTTGGGGAGAAAATCTGTGTTAATATTATTTCCATTGAACGTTAAATCATTAATAACTGCTTGCCAGAATGTCCTATTTGAAAGTTAACAGCAAATAGACAGAACAGCAAATATGAAAAGTTTAAGGTTTGAAGTCTTCCTAGACTAGAAGTCTGTATAACCAGTGCAGGCATTATCGAGTTTGAAAAAATTTCAAGATAAGTCATGTCGGCTAAGGTTGCATGTTACCAGAACTAAAAAAAGGATAATACAAAATACTTATTGATAAGAGTCTAAAAAAGAGGAAATGTGTTGCAGAGGTCTAGTTTGTATTTAAATCTGCAATGTATGTAGTAATGGCACACCCTCCCAACAAGAATCCATAACTATCACAATAACAAGACAGAACAAAAGTCATTAATGTATAGTAATACTGTATCACAAAATAAATGGTACATACCTGCAGTTATCCAGGCTCATTTTCTTCTTTGCTAACATGTCCTTCAACCTTCCAGGAGTTGCAACTACAATGTGCACACCCTTCTTTACAACCTCCAACTGTGACCTCATATCCACTCCACCAATACATAGCAATGGCCTCAGTTCTGGATACCCAGCCTCTCTCATGGGAATCAAAAATTGTTCCACAACTTCATAAGTTTGTCTGGCAAGTTCTCTTGATGGACAGACAATCAAACCAACGGGGCCTTCTCCAGGCATAATGGGCATCATAATCTCTTCCTGTAAAGCAATCATAATCAACGGAAGCACAAAAACAAGAGTCTTCCCAGATCCAGTAAAGGCAATCCCAATCATGTCCCTTCCTGTTAAGATGACAGGAAGACCTTGCACCTGAATAGGAGTAGGCTGCACAATCCCTTTGGCTTTTAGCATTTTCAAAATAGGCTCAGGAAACCTCATATCTTTGAAATTCTTAATTGGTGGAGGAATGTTTTCACCATCAACTATTATATGCCACTGTTTTCGAATTGCATCACATTCCTTTCTGGACATTCTCCTGATGGGAAGCGGCGGTTTCCATCCTGTCAACAATGGCTCAGTATATGTAATTCCCTTGGCCAATTCACGAACTGACATGAGAGTTTTCCTATCAGACAGATGTTCTATCATTTCTTTTTCTTGTTGCACAATCTGCTCTGCCTGACTAATTTCAGGTTGGTCGCGCTTGAGCTGAGACGCTTTGACCAGGAGGCTGGGCTTGGCTTCTGCAAGTTTGGATTTTTCAAGTTCATCCTCTAAAGCAGAGGAATTTCCCCTTCTCTGAAGAATCATTTGAGCTGCCAATGCTCGACGCTTCGCCACAGGAACAAACTCCACATAGTTATCATCTTCCTCCATCCTTTAATTTCCTGTGGCAACACAAATTCATCACCAACCATTGTATTTTAAAAATTCCAACGAAAAATGAAAACGCGCTGCAGGTACCCAAAATTTGCACTTGTTTGAGGTGAGCAATGACAAAAAAAAAAAAAAAAAAAAAAAAAACCCCACTTTAGCAAGAGCAAGATGTTTATTAGACAAAATTATGAATTTTTTATCTTGCAATACACTTATTGGAAAAACCCTAACAGATGAACTAATCATACATGAAACAAAAGATATAACCATCTGATTTACACTTTACTAATCATACATGATAGTTACATGGATTATTCGATTTCAAATTTTCAATTCTTACCTAAAGAAAGGAAAGGCAGATACGAGAGCCGAGAGTAGGAGGTCTGGAGAATTGAGATGAAACTGAGAGAGAAGGATTGAGGAAGGGGCCGCTGGAGGAGCTAGGAGGGGCGGCTTGGACCGAGGAGGAGAGCGGTGTTTCTATGTACTCCGTATTTTGAAAAAAAACAAGAATGGGGAAAAAACGACGAGAGCTAGGAATTTAGGGTTTCTAATTTCTTGTTTATATATATTATTAAAATAAAAAACTAATTCAGTTAATCGGTTTAAACCGAATATAATGTATATTTAATTTTTTTTTATGCTGTGAATAATGATAATAGATAGAATTAATAATAATTCAACCGTAGTTGTTTTTAGCTTGCTCCGTCTCTCGTCATACCCATAATATACCTAATGGAATAAGCTTATTTTGTTTTATTAAGAAATTTAATAAAAATTAATCTATTTCTATTATATAATTATTTTTATAAAAAAAAACTTAAATCGTAAATGAACTAAAAAAAATGTATTTCAGTTATTTGGATAAAGCATAACTCCTTGTATCATGTAAAAACTCGCCCTGCTTGGTTTTTTTTTCGTTAATAATAAAAAAAAAGGAAAAAAAATCACCTCCTCTTATAATTAATTACATATCTTTTGTGTTTCTGTTTTCCTAATTCAAAGAATGTTTAAATTTTTTTCAAACTTGTATAATGAATGTAAATATCTATTCGGTGAACGAATTTCATTATCGTTTTTTTTTTCCTTTCAAAAAAAGCTTTTCACATGTTTAGTTAGATGAAAGCTCTAGTAATTTTTTTTTCAGACAAATTGATTTAATGAAAGTTCAAATGGTAAAATAAGAATGAAAGTGATAATAATAATAATAATAATCTATTTTTATTTTTATTTTTATCTTTTTAGCATTTTAGAATGCAATTAATTTTTTTAAAAAAAAAAGCAAGAGGTTTTACTATTCATGTTACTTATCATTCACCAAAACTCAATGCATTATTCATTCAGACTCATGTATACATGATTTTTAGATTATTTCCAGGCATTTATATGAGAATTTTATTTGATATTGCACTTTGGTTTATGATTTTTCTAAAAAGTTTTATTTTGATCTTTAATTTCATTTATATTGTAATTTGATTCTTTGACGTAGAGTGAGAAAGGCAAGTCAAAATCCAAATAAATTTTAAAATTTTTATTTTATTTGTTTTTTTTTAATGCGCATTAAAATGTTTTCTTAGTTTCTAACCAGATTTATTGATCTTATTTTGGTGATTTTGAGGTATTTTTGAACAAAAATAATGTCAGAAATTGATTTTGGAGGTTTAGAGTTAGACCCTCCACTTTCTTGTGATGATTCTAGCAATATTTCTGGCAAATCTGAGTTGACCAAAAGTTGCAAATAGATGACTCATCACTCGTGTTGCTATCCAATGTGAGCGATGCATCATCTGTTTTTTTTTTTTTTTTAAAGAGGGCTGTGTGAGCCTTCTTTTGTAAGTCCCACGTATTTTTAGCAAGTGGGTTGATCCACTTTTTGAAGTGAACAATGATTAAAAAAAAAAAAAAAAAAACCACCAGAAAAAGAAAACCAACTTTAGCAATAAGTCACTAAGAGCAAGCTGTTTCTGATAATTGCTATTAGACAAAATTATGAATTTTTTATCTTACAACATACTTATTGGAAAAACCTTAACAAATTAACTAATTATACACACACACACACACAAAATACCAAAAAAGGGTATTGTAGACGATTTTTTTATCTTCTAAAGGTGGTTATAACCCCTCTAGAGATTGTAGGGGTAGTTTTTGGGTCGCCTTAAAACCACCTACAATGTCACCATCTCGTAAGATGTAGAGACGAGTTTGCCAACCGTCGAGGAATTCCGAGGCAATTTGTTATGATGGTTTGAACCGCCTCAAATTATTTTTTGAGACAATTCCGATTGCCTCTACGATGCCAATTTTATCTTTTATGATTTTTTAGCATGTAAGTTTTGCAACGGTTTAAAACCACCTCTACGTTTTCTCATTTGTTTTTTAAATTTCGTGCGAAATATTTGGGACGGTTACAAGCTGCCGCAAGGTTTAAAATTTATAGGGATGGTTAGAACCGTCCCAAATTGTAGAATTTATAAAGGCGGTTATAATCGTCTCAAATTTTAGAATTCATAAAGGCAAAGTTTAGAATTCGTAGAGACGGTTGTTTAGTCGCCTTTAGTATTATAGTTTTATTTTGCCTTCAAACTCTTTTTTTTTTTTTTTTGGTCATTAAACAAATAAATTTTGAAAAAGTTAATCTTATTGAATGCAAATAAAAGAAAAATTCTATAGCTTACACAATATTCTTAAATTTGCAATTATCAAATTCTAAATATATAAAAAGTCATCAAATATTCACAAGTAAAATTAAAAAATAAAAAACTAAAGGATTAAACACTTATTCGAAATACATAAAAAAAATTCCAAATATATTTTAAAATAAGTGGCTAATGTTTTTTTTAAAAAACAACTCTTATGTTTTTATAAAATTTAAAATTAACAATAATTTTTAAATAAACTAAATAAATATAGCTAAAACAAGAAAGATGTTGTAAGTAATTACTTCAAATTATTTATGTTTTGAAGAACTTACAAATTGAACCACGAGTTATGGCAAAAAAACAAAATCAACGAGCTGATTCCTAAAAGATTGGAGGATTATTATCAAGCAACAAAGACTTAGAATGACAAGGGTTCAAAAAGAAAAGGAGAAAAGAGTCGGATCGAAGAGGAGATATATGTAATGCACTTTTTTTGTTTTCGTTTCTAATAGAGGTGATCATTGTGTTTTTCGATTTCTTTGTTTACAATTCAATTTTAGTCTTTGGTTAATCGAACCTACTAAATGAAAAATCAAACCCGGATAGAAATTGTATTAGATTTTTTGGTTTTGAAAACAAAATTTTGGTTTTTGGTTTTGATTTTGATTTTTTGGTTAAACCGAATTTTTTTTCCTTTTATTTTTTGAATTTTTTCATTTAATTAAGATGATACAATGACTTTGCCACCGAGTCTAATGCTTGTTTTTCAGTTCCCTTATCAAATCAAATGCAACTTGATTGACAATATTATCCATATCAAATATATGTTAGGACTTCATAGAATGCAATTTTATTTAACTTGCACAATGAAAAAAATTGATGATCAACATCTACATATTCTACTTACCAATTTACAAGCATAAACAATCAATATGATCTCACTACGGTTTAAATACTTTTCCAATAGAACTTCTCACATGTTGTCATTATCTACTAATATCAATTCCAAAAAGAACTTCATAAACTACTTTGAGCTCAAAATCAATAGAATCGGCTCTCAATCGATGTGCAAAATGAAGTGCTTCCAACCTTGTGTGCTAATCTCTTTTATTAGCACTCGATTTTGACCTTTTCATTTTTACAAACTTTCCAGAAAAAAATGCAAAAAATTCCATTTAAAAAAAATTAAACATTTTATTCAATTTGTCTAATTTTTCAATTTTAACCCTTTTTCATAGCTTTTTTTTATAAGCTTTTTTATTCTCTCAATTTTTGTGAGTTTCGAAAAAAAATTATCACGTACAAAAAATAAGTAAATAAAAATAATTAGTGAAAAAAAGTAAGCAAAGAAAATGAATGAAAAATGAGAAAAGGAAAATTAAGAAAAAATAGAGAAGAAAAATCCGAGCATAAATTGAAGGAAATAAAACAATGGGAACTAATAGAAATCAAATTAAGGGTGTAATTGAAACAATAAAATGCCAAGAAGTAAAATATAAGAAGAATATGAGGGACCAAATATGAATTAAGCCTAAACCCTAAAAATCTCAAGTAAATAATAAATTTGTCTCTCTAGTTTCAAGAAATAAATTAGTTAGACCCTCTTATTTCAAAAACTATTATTTAATCATTTAATCAATGTTGAGAATGCTTAATTTAATATTATTTTTATTATATAAAAATTTAATATTATTTTTATTATATAAAATCTCTTATCTTGTCATCAATTTTTCTATATTTTTTTTATATTTTATATTTCTTAAAATAAAAATCAAAATAAATTTAAAAAGAGAAAAAAATGACTAAATTGTAAATAGATTTCAAAATTCTGAAACTAAATAATTAATTTTTAAAATGATAAGGACTAATTTATAATTTACTCTAAAAATCTCCTATAAATACCTCTCTTTCACCAAAAAAACAAACTCCCTCTTTTCTCTTATGCATTCGGTAGCCTCTTTTGTTGCTGACCACCTTCCAATAGTTTCCAGCTAAAATTCGGCCAATCAATGTCAAATTCCTACCATCTAAAACACCTAAAAAATTATAAGAAAATGATCCTAGGAGCTGTAGCATCTCTTAGTTGTTAGCACTCAATTTTAACCCCCATTTGTTTTTATAATATATATATATTGGGCGAATGGCATTTCGGCGACCAATTGAAAAATCAAGTGAAATAAGAGCTAAATAAATTTAATTAAAAGGCATAATTGAGAATTAAGAAGCAAATGGTCTTAATTGAGGATGAAATTAGCTAAATTAAAAGGAATAGAAGAGAAAGAACTAGAGAAATTCAATTGGGTGTATAATTAAAAAGAAAGGAAAAGAGATAAGATTAAAGCATGAAAGGCGCACCAA